TTTTTTTTTTTTTTTTTTTTGCGGTATGCGGGCCTCTCACTGTTGCGGCCTCTCCAGTTGTGCAGCACAGGCTCCAGACGCACAGGCTCAGCGGCCATGGCTCACGGGCCAAGCCGCTCCGCGGCATGTGGGATCCTCCCGGACTGGGGCACAAACCCGTGTCCCCTGCATCGGCAGGCGGACTCTCAACCACTGCACCACCAGGGAAGCCCCCCGGGCTTTATTTTTAATTGCAGTGAGCAGGGCTACTCTTCACTGCAGTGTGCAGGCCTCTCATTAAGGTGGCTTCTCTTGTTGCAGACCACAGGCTCTATGAGCGCAGGCTTCAGTAATTGTGGCAATGGGCTCAGTAGCTGTGGCTCGCGGGCTCTAGAGTGCAGGTTCAGTAGTTGTGGCACACAGGCTTAGTTGCTCCATGGCATGTGGGATCTTCCTGGATCAGGGATCGAACCTGTATCCCCTGCACTGGCAGGCATATTCTTAACCACTGTGCCACCAGGGAAGTACCGGAAAGGACATTCTTTTGTTAACAATACCAAAGAAGGATAATATGAGAAGGTCCTATATCACTTATGAACAAGGATACAAAAATTCTAAATAATATTAGAGGGAGGTGGGGGAGAGATAAATTAGGAGTTTGGGATTAATATATACATACTACTATATATAAAGTAGGTACACAACAAAGACCTGTAGTTCACTGTATAGCGCAGTGAACTACACTCAGTATTTTGTAGTAACCTATAATGGAAAAGAATCTGAGAAAAAATATACATATATATATATATATGTATAACTGAATCACTTTGCTGTACACTTGAAACTAACACATCGTAAATTAACTATACTTCAATAAAAAATAAAATAAGAAAGAAGATAATGAAATAACATCATTAACTGTACTGAAAAAAAACTGTCAAACTAGAATTCTATGCCCAATGAAAACACTTTCAAAAATGAAAGTGAAATAGACTTTTTCAGACAAAAGCTGAGACTCTGTCTCTAGCAGACCTGCACTAAAGAAATGCTAAAGTTGTTCAAGCAGAAAGGAAATGATACCAGAAGGTAACTCAGATCTTCACAAAAGGAAGAATACTAGAAATGGTAAGAAGTAGGTACATATACAATAACTTTCCCATTTAAAAAATTTCCTTAAACCTAAGAAGATAAAATGAGAATTATAAAAAATAATCCAAAAGAAAGCAGGTAAAGAGGGAAAAAAGAACCAAGAACAGATGACAAATAGAAAACAAACTCATTTCCAGAGTTACAATATTATAATATTCAAATGTCCAGTTTTTAATTTAAAGAAAATTACAAGGCATACAAGGAAAGAGGGGAGTATGGTCCATTCAAAGGCA